CTGCTTCTCCCTCTGACCCTCCCCCCTCTCATGTGCTCTCTGTCTCAGATAAATAAATAAAATCTTTAAAAAAAAAAAAAAAACACAGGTTCTCCTATGGTATTCCCTATCTGGGCAAAGAGCATCAGCAGGCATGTAATCTCTCACGGCAGACATGTGACTGAAAATGCAATGTACCCTTAGATGTTTCTTATCATTAACTCTTAAGTTTCTGTCACACCTATATGCTTTCTCCAGTTCCATCCAGTGAGACCACCCTCGCTTGCTAGCTCTGCTTTCACTTTTTACATGAATGCTTATGAACACCCTTTAAGTGGCTGCAGTGTGGAGAACACATCAGAAGAAGGCCACCAGACTTCATTTTCTCTGATTTCCCTGGAATCCAATTCTATGACTTAACCTACAATGCAAAACCTTTTAACGGCTTCCCAGTGATCTTAGGAAAAAGATCATGGTACTTAAAATGGTACTCCAAATCCAAATATGGCTATCTCCTGCCTAACCTAACTCTCTAGACTCGGATGGGAGTAAGATTTTTTAAATTCTTATCCAGGGACATACACCCCTCTTTCATGGGGCTTTAGGACATCCTCTTCCACCAGTTACAATGTCCACCCTCCCTATTCCCCTGGTTCCGCTTTGTTCCAGCTAATTCCTATACATCGTTCATATCTCAACTCAAGAGTCTCCATGTCTGAAAGGCCTTCCCAAGTCACCTAGGTCAGATATACTGGATAAGTGCTCACAAGAAAGGGAACATGTGGGGTGCCTCAGTGGCTCAATCGTTAAGCATCTGCCTTCAGCTCAGGTCATGATCCCAGGGTCCTGGGATCAAGCCCCGCATAGGGCTCCCTGCTCAGCAGAAAGCCTGCTTCTCCCTCTCCCACTCCCCCTGCTTCTGTTCCCTCTCTTGCTGTGTCTCTCTGTCAAATAAATAAATAAAAATAAAAATAAAAAAATAATAATAAAAAAAAGAAAGAAAGGGAACATGTACTGTGAGCATATTAAACAGTTGGAAAATAATGATTATCTCCCGGATTCATGGATGGTGCCTGCCTAGAATTTTGTTGAGATGCTTCCGAGGCAGTGCACAGCTTTAGTAGGGATGAGTAGGGTCAGTGACCACTGATGGCTGAAGGAGGAGTCAGAAGAAGTCACAAGAAGGAGGAGTGCTTATTTTTGCAAGTATATCGCATATCTGCTTTCCCCCATCAAGCACTACAGAGTTCAGTTTCTTTTATACAACAGTGGGACTATCGGTAGAACACTGTCTGAGGTGCATTTTAATCATTCTCTCAAGTTCTTAGTGGGAGGTACCACGAAACAGAGAACTAAGCACACATCTTGCAGTCAGACACCCTGGTTCTAATTCTTAGCTCCACTATTTACTATACATTGAATATTTGGAAGTTTTCTCAACTTCTTTGAAATCTGTAAACTAGGGATACATTGAGTACCAAAATGACAGGATGACAGGAGAATTGGTTGTTTCATATATATATATGCATACTTTGTGTATAATAAGCATTCAATGACTGCTATCAGTTTTTTGGATGTTGCTGAAAATTAGAACGTAAGTTCAAATAGAAACGACATACTTGGAGATTTTCACCCAATGCAGGGAACTCACTTACTTTGGGCAAATTTTGGAGGATTGTCATTAACGTCGGTAAGGGTCACTGTAAGTGTTGTGGTCCCAGACAGGCCACCAGAGTGTCCACCCATATCTTTGGCTTGGATGACAACCAGGTATTCCTCCTTGGCTTCTCTGTCCATGTTGGGAAGAGCAGTTTTTATAATTGCTGAGGGGGGAGAAATGGGAGAATGACTTTCAGACAGACAGCTCATTCAAATCGAATGTGACGACGCTCTCACGCAAACATACCCATGTGCACACATCAAGTCCCTGCTCAGATAATTTTCTGCTTTCTTTTGCCTTTTAACTGGTGTCTATGATGCCAACACTGAGAAAGATTTGTCACAGGCATTAGTGGTTAACTTGCAAAAATACATTTTATAGTATATAAAAAAGAGAACTTGCAAAAATATACATTAAAAAGTAAACTGAATGGCATACTCTTGCCTACCAAATTAAAGTATAAATCATAACATAGCCTCATCTACCCAGGAAAACCCTGGAAGTGAAAGAATCTTACAATTTATCACAGAATCCAATTCCCCTACAAGAGGAGTAAATACATAAATAGCTTGCAGGCTCTGAGGTCAAAGATAAATTGTTCTGAAGCTCACAAATACATCAGAGAGATGAAATAAATGCATTATTAGGATCAACTCAGATGAAGAAAATACCAATCAGAATTAATATAGGCAAGTGTCTAAATCCTAAGGTACTATTCAACCGCATTTATATTTTAGTTATTACATTTTCTCTATTGTAAAATAAAAACTTTAGCAAAAAATGAAGACAGAGAAGAGAGAAAGGAGGTGAAACATAAAATCATACAAAATAATATAATATCATCAGTGCTAAAATGTTCATGTTTTTTAGTTTGATATATTTTCAGGGTTTCATCCATCTGCTTCTTTATGTGTTTCACCACTAATTTAATATTCTTCTTAAAGATTCAAAATTTGGGTAGATACTTCTGAAGTTATTTTAAAAATCTTTATTTAGCCCTCTCCCTACTCTCATATCTCTTTATAGATAAATATTGCTAACATTTGGATGGGTACATTTCCAAAGCCGTTATAGGTATATGCATACAAATGTACATATATGCATATGAACATTTAACCACAAATGTGGCCGTGATATAGGCACTTTTCTGGGACTTTCTTTTATCATAGAATGGGTATCTTTGAGATCCTTTTTTGTTGTTGTTGTTAGCATATAGACATCCAACTCATTACTTCTTATAGCTGCATAATTCTTCATTCATGAATACATTATCAGTAACTTAAGCTTTCCCATATCAATGGATGTTGCACTCATTTCACTTCTTCCCATTTTAAAGAATGATTAGATATCTTACAATGATTGTACTCTATTTTTTCTGTGTCCTGCAGTGTTACTTAACTCTTCCTCACAAAACACACCTCCCACCACCATACTGCTAAAAGCTCAAAACAAAAATTACTGTGACTAGCCCAAAATATTGCTGTTGAATGGATGTGTGTTACACCTCTGGCCCAAGTTAAAGAAAACTGTCTGGATTAAAGATAATTCTATTTATTAAAGATAATTCTCTTTATTATCTTTAAGAATAAAGAATATTTATTCTTTATTATCGTGTAGGAATATCATGCATGTCCAATTCAAATTGAGGATGAGCCACTCGGTCATTTCTGAAGTTGTAATTGTGCTTTGTTTGGTTGGTTGGTTGGTTGGACTCTTAAGCTCTAATTAAATCATCTATCTGTAAAAGTTGCATGGCGTTGAAGTCCCAGAATTATTCATGTAGCAGGCGAGGCACAAGAGTGCCCAGGGAAATCTAATCCACCCAGACAGTGTGCAGGCTTTGGGAAGAGCTGCGAGTTCCAATGTACTTTACTACACCTTGACACCACTTTTATATCCGAGATTCACATGCAGGGAGCACTAATTGGATAACCCTGCTTATTTGGAAACATTGATAGTAACATAATAATATCTTTCAATATAATGGCTTGTTTCAAGATTTGATCATATCAAAATATGACTCAACAGACCATACTTATAGGATTATAAACAAAAAAAGAAGAGAAAAACAGAAATACAATAATCATGTAGACTTAGATTACTGTGTAGAAAAACAAACGTGAACAAAAAACAACAACAATAACAACAAAACCTCATCAATAACAACAAAACCTCAACAAAACCAACCCCATGAGATGCCAGTCTGGCTACTCTGCCATGGATATATATTCCGTAACTCAGAATATCTTCATTACGGGCCCAATTCCAGTAGAAAGGATTAGAAAATTGTTTTACTCCCATAATAGTTATATGAATGTTTGTAAAGTTTAGGTACCATCACATTCTAAGGTCATCATGAATTAAAGCCATACATTGGTCTTTGGAATTTGGCACACAATGTCTAATAATCAGAGGAAACTAATATAATTCCCCAAGGAAGACAGAGGTTTTTTTTTGTTTGTTTTTTTCAAATGAGTAGATGGGTTGACGTCTACACGTGAGTCCTTTGAGGTTACTTCAGAGGAAGAATTTTTATAATTTCCTCAGACCCAGAGAAGTGTGCTATGTATTATTCTCATCATTTTTTTAAAATATATTATGAGAGTCTAAGAAAAAAAAAAAACCCTGTAATGTCTCTCAGACAACTTGGAATTAAAATAGTTCTGAGTCTCAGTTATAATAGCATACTTAGGTTTAATGACTATGAGTTATATCAAAATATGAGAGAAGCATTATGATGGAGGGATTTGCTTAAATGGGACAAGAAGAGCTCCACAGGTCTCCATCTATTACAGAAATGTTTACGCTCTCCACCATCAAGGTATACTCAGTACTCATAATACCAAATACACTTATCTCTTGACAAGTTTGAGTCCCCTTATAAATGCTCCCTCATGTTGAAGTCAAGCAAGTTTGGTTTCTCATGTTATTCTCACACTTGCTAGCTTTGTGACCATGAACAAATTATTAAACTCATCAGGACTCAATATCTTGCCCTATCAAATGGAAACAATAATCAGCCTCCCATTGTGGGTATGCTGAGACGGTGTGAGAGAATTCATGCAAAGTTCTTGGCATACACTAGTTACCCAATTATGCTATTTCCCTTCCCCTTTTCCCTTCCCAGCCATAATTTATTTAATGCTTATCTGGATGATGGTTACAGTGCTAAACATTCTCCAACTGCCCCTCCAGATCCACTTTCCAGCATTTTCCACCTACTCTTGGCATGGAAGAGTGACCGTTATGGATTGCCTCAATGAGCTTTCTTTTTCTTTCTTTCTTTCTTTCTTTCCTTTTTTTCTTTCTTTCTTTCTTCTTTTTCTTTCTTTCTTTCTCTTTCCTTTCTTTCTTTTCTTTCTCTCTTTCCTTTTTTTTTTTAAATTTATTTATTAGAGAGAGAGAGTGAGAGAGAGTGCGCAAGAGGGGGTAGGGTTAGAGGGAGAAGCAGACTCCCTGCCGAGCAGAGAGCCCAATGTGGGACTCGATCCCGGGACTCCGGGATCATGACCTGAGCCGAAGGCAGTCGCCTAACCAACTGAGCCAGCCAGGCGCCCTTTTTTCTTTCCTTTCTTTTTCTTTCTTTCTTTCTTTCTTTCTTTCTTTCTTTCTTTCTTTCTTTCTTTCTTTCTTTCTTTCTTTCCTTTCTTTCTTTCCTTCCTCCCTCCCTCCTTCCTTTCTTTCTTTCTTTTTAAGATTCATTCATTAGAGAAAGGGAGAGAGAGAGAGAGCACAAGTGGGAGTAGGGGCAGAGGGAGAGAATCCCATGCAGACTCCTCACTGAGTGGGGGGTCCAACGCAGAGCTGGATTTCACGACCCCAAGATCATGACCTGAACCAAAATCAAGAGTTGGACGCTCAACTGACTGAGCCACCCAGGCATCCCTGGACTTCCTTACTTTCTGACTCTGCATTAGACTCAACCAACATACATTACCCTAGGAGATTGTGAGGATGTAGCAGGTAAGTTCCAGATTCCCCAAATACCCCAAACATATGTTTGGCCAGTCTATGGTTAGTATCTTCAGATATTGCTAGAACAAAACTCTAGTGTCCAATAGCTGCCCCAATTCCTTGTTCTCTCAGGCCTAGGGATGATGAAGACACCTCTGCTGCTAGCCTTGGGGTTCTTGGTATCCCTGGATGGTCTCTCTTAGCCTGGCCAAGCTTTCATCAATAGTTCCTTCATTAAACTCTCCTCAATCACCCCATTCCTGCCAAGACCCTAAAAGTATGGTTAGGATACTGGTTCATTATCCAAGGGTCAAACATGTTTCCAGCATGTCATTCTTACACAGACATCTACAGTTCAAAAGTACTTCAGTGTAATAACATATTGCCCCTTGACATGGCAGGGCAGGTATTGGCTTCCCCATTGGAAAAAAAGAGAATAATAGCTATCCCATTAAATGAAGTTGCTCAAGAGGACCCAGCTGGAAAGCTGCACATGGAAGTCTTCACACTTTCTCTTTTCTTAGAAAACACTAGGAGTGGGTTTTCTGATTTCTAAGGTAAGCAAGGAGTCTCTCCAAGTTTTCTTTAGGGCATTCAGCATACTTCATTGGCTTCGGTGCAAACTGTATAATGAACAGCTCTTGCTTTCTGAGCTGCCTCTAGTCAACCTCACAACTAGCAATGACTCATTAGAAAATTCAAGACAGAATTTCTGGAACATTTTTCCTGCTACCTTGTAGCCATAAAAGCATGCTAGGAAAAACCCCAAGTGCTCTTGGCCCTCCCCTTTTTCTCCTCATATTGGGGCATATGTACACATCACTAAAACCTTTTTTAAAATTCCTATTCAAAGGCAGATCATTTCACCTACATAGATGTTGCAGTATGATGATAAACTCCTAAAACAGGAGCTTAAAATTGTCTTAAAAGTTGCCTCTACTTCTCCCCTGAATTATTTGCTTTGGCTCACATGTTCTCCCAAGCTTTAGGCTGTTTCTTTTATAGGCAAAAGAGAGAACTTCCTTATTTTAAAAAGTATTGTTTGGTATCAAATACCACCTCGCACAGAGCAGAAAATATAACGTTATTTTTCCTCTCAGGTTTGTGAAGTCAAAAATTTTGACCTATGTAAAAAGTTATGGAAATCCTCAGTTAAATGGCATTTTTATCCATTTTCAACTTTTATTTTAAAACAGCAGACAGGAGATC